AATCATTGATGTGGGAATTTTTGGAGAAAATAAAAATTATGATAGAACTATTTCCATGTTTCCCACATTTTACAGTTTATTTAAATAAAGCAATAGATAAACTCTATTTTCGAAGTCTGAAAAAAAACTGAGATCACTTTTATGAATTAAGAAAACATTTGACTAAAAATTTAAAGATGAAATGCAAATTTATTATCCTTGGTTCCATAAGAATGTCAACTGATTACATTCAAGTTTTAAAAGTTAAGTTTGTTGGCTAATTTTCACATTAATATAACTTTAAAATCAAAATTCTGTCCTCTTCCTCCAGTAACTATATTGCAAGCCTGAATCTACAGAGAGTCTGGTAATTACAGCACATATAAATGTCTTCATTGACACTTAATTTAAATTTCCAAAACAAATAACTATGGAACACTTAAACATTATCTTGAATATTGTGAGCATCTTCTCTTTCAATCTACTACTGAATGAAGTGATTTTTGCATTAGTGCATATATATATACAGTTGACCGTTGAACAACACAGATTTGAATGGCCTGGGTCCACTTACACATAATTTTTTTTTCAATAAATATATTGGAAAAGCTTTTGGAGATCTGCAATAATTTGAAAAAAAATTTACTTTTGCTTACTTACTTTATTGTAAGAATACAGTATGTAACATATATAACATACAAAATATGTGTCAATAGACTGTTGTTATCTGTAATGCTACTTACCTGTCAACTATTAGGAAAGTTTTCGGGGAGTCAAAAGTTATATGCAGATTGTTGACGAAAGGGCTTGGAGGGGTGCCCCTAACCCTATGTTGTTCAAAGGTTAGCTGTATTTGAGGAATTTTAGTTTCTATGTATTGATTCTATTATTAGTTCACACATGAATCAGAAGTACAATGTATTGTACTTTTGATTATCAACACATCAGCCAATTGACATTTATTACCCCAATTATAGTTATTGCCTTTGAAATCATAACAATAAACAAACAAAAAATCTTAATCCCTTACCCAAAAACCTGCCACAGTCCCCCATTGACGGCAATATAAAATCTAATCTCATATAAGATAAAAGACCCAGTAAATCCATTTCTGGCCTAACACCTCAGGCTTAGTGCTGCCTGTTTAAATCCATTGCTCTTGCTGTTTCCTCTGTTGCCTCTACCTGGAACATTTTACCCTAGACATCCACTGGTTTGATACCTCCTCTCCTTAGATTTTTACACAGGTATCATCTTCTGCAGCTTCCAACTACTCCATTTCAAATTATAATCCACCTCCTACATTCCCTATTGTATATGGATATCCTAAATCTATTCACAAACACACCACACACCACCACCATCATCACCAGATTAGAAGCTTCTTGAGGCTGGACCTCTATGCTTGGCATGATCAATAAATATTTGTTGAATAAGTGAATAATTATCAGCCCATACATCTCAGTGTTCCTACCTTAATCTTCATGTTCCCCAAAATAATAATCACTTGCTTACCCCAAATATGCCACATTCTCTCACTCCTTGATGACTTGAACATGCACTTATGTAAAAGTCCCCCCTCCATCCCATTAACATGGAATATATTCATATATTGAGCAAATATTCATTGTATGCCTATCATGTGTCAGGCACAGTGCCTGTCATTGGGAATGTAGTCGGCACTAATATAGATAAGCCCCTGCCCTCATGAGGCCACTATTGTATTAGAGAAATAACAGGTAATAAACATGTTTTAAAAAGTTTATTGATTATGATAATTACTATAAAGAACATAAAGAAAGTGATGTTATAGAAGTAAATGGAGGATGGAGAGAGATACAATTGACATGGAACACTCAAGAGACTTCTTTCTGAAGGAGACAAGACTTCTAACTTGAGGAAGAAAGGAATCATGTCACAATGAAAAGAGAGAGACAGTGCAAAAATCATGAAGCAGCAAAAAGTTACATTTATATTAAGGGAACTCAAAGACTGCCTTGTGATTGGACTGTATTAAAAGAAGGGAAGTGGAACTTGGAAAGGTAAGCAGCATCTGAAACAGCTAGAACCTCAGTGGACATAAAACCAGTTTGTGCTTGATTCTGAGGGAAATAAAGAAGCCTTTGCAAAACTGTAAAATTTTTGCAGTGGCCCTGGTGAGATATATTGGTGGCCTGTACAAAAGGAGAAGCATTGGAAAGAAGTGGATGATTTAGAAAATACATTGTTCACGTGTAAGTTGGATAAAGGAAAGGAGGTATTAAGAATAACTCCTAGTTTTCTTTACTGAATTGCTATGTCCACAGTGGTACCTTTTACCAAAATATAAAAACAGAGGGCGAGCCAGATTTTCAAACATCTCTAAGAAAGTTTCATGATCCCTCAGGCTAGCTTAAGTCTTCCTTAAACAAATAACTATGGAACACTTAAACATTATCTTGAATATTGTGAGCATCTTCTCTTTCAATCTACTACTGAATGAAGTGATTTTTGCATTAGTGCATATATATATACAGTTGACCGTTGAACAACACAGATTTGAATGGCCTGGGTCCACTTACACATAATTTTTTTTTCAATAAATATATTGGAAAAGCTTTTGGAGATCTGCAATAATTTGAAAAAAAATTTACTTTTGCTTACTTACTTTATTGTAAGAATACAGTATGTAACATATATAACATACAAAATATGTGTCAATAGACTGTTGTTATCTGTAATGCTACTTACCTGTCAACTATTAGGAAAGTTTTCGGGGAGTCAAAAGTTATATGCAGATTGTTGACGAAAGGGCTTGGAGGGGTGCCCCTAACCCTATGTTGTTCAAAGGTTAGCTGTATTTGAGGAATTTTAGTTTCTATGTATTGATTCTATTATTAGTTCACACATGAATCAGAAGTACAATGTATTGTACTTTTGATTATCAACACATCAGCCAATTGACATTTATTACCCCAATTATAGTTATTGCCTTTGAAATCATAACAATAAACAAACAAAAAATCTTAATCCCTTACCCAAAAACCTGCCACAGTCCCCCATTGACGGCAATATAAAATCTAATCTCATATAAGATAAAAGACCCAGTAAATCCATTTCTGGCCTAACACCTCAGGCTTAGTGCTGCCTGTTTAAATCCATTGCTCTTGCTGTTTCCTCTGTTGCCTCTACCTGGAACATTTTACCCTAGACATCCACTGGTTTGATACCTCCTCTCCTTAGATTTTTACACAGGTATCATCTTCTGCAGCTTCCAACTACTCCATTTCAAATTATAATCCACCTCCTACATTCCCTATTGTATATGGATATCCTAAATCTATTCACAAACACACCACACACCACCACCATCATCACCAGATTAGAAGCTTCTTGAGGCTGGACCTCTATGCTTGGCATGATCAATAAATATTTGTTGAATAAGTGAATAATTATCAGCCCATACATCTCAGTGTTCCTACCTTAATCTTCATGTTCCCCAAAATAATAATCACTTGCTTACCCCAAATATGCCACATTCTCTCACTCCTTGATGACTTGAACATGCACTTATGTAAAAGTCCCCCCTCCATCCCATTAACATGGAATATATTCATATATTGAGCAAATATTCATTGTATGCCTATCATGTGTCAGGCACAGTGCCTGTCATTGGGAATGTACTCGGCACTAATATAGATAAGCCCCTGCCCTCATGAGGCCACTATTGTATTAGAGAAATAACAGGTAATAAACATGTTTTAAAAAGTTTATTGATTATGATAATTACTATAAAGAACATAAAGAAAGTGATGTTATAGAAGTAAATGGAGGATGGAGAGAGATACAATTGACATGGAACACTCAAGAGACTTCTTTCTGAAGGAGACAAGACTTCTAACTTGAGGAAGAAAGGAATCATGTCACAATGAAAAGAGAGAGACAGTGCAAAAATCATGAAGCAGCAAAAAGTTACATTTATATTAAGGGAACTCAAAGACTGCCTTGTGATTGGACTGTATTAAAAGAAGGGAAGTGGAACTTGGAAAGGTAAGCAGCATCTGAAACAGCTAGAACCTCAGTGGACATAAAACCAGTTTGTGCTTGATTCTGAGGGAAATAAAGAAGCCTTTGCAAAACTGTAAAATTTTTGCAGTGGCCCTGGTGAGATATATTGGTGGCCTGTACAAAAGGAGAAGCATTGGAAAGAAGTGGATGATTTAGAAAATGCATTGTTCACGTGTAAGTTGGATAAAGGAAAGGAGGTATTAAGAATAACTCCTAGTTTTCTTTACTGAATTGCTATGTCCACAGTGGTACCTTTTACCAAAATATAAAAACAGAGGGCGAGCCAGATTTTCAAACATCTCTAAGAAAGTTTCATGATCCCTCAGGCTAGCTTAAGTCTTCCTCTGGACTTACATTTAAGCTTGCATGTTAGAATATCTATTACATATTACAACATTGTATTTGTCTCTCTACAAGATCATAACTTCTTTGAAGACAGTGATCATATCTCTTAATCTTTGCATCAGCAGGCCTGGCACAGTGTCCAGTTCACAGAGTACTAGTGGACAAAGGGCAATAACTGAAGGAATAAACAAATAAATGTCAGAGGAGCTAAGAAACAGGCAAGAATCCTAGTATCAGAACTACAGTAACTTCCAATCTTCTTGTAGGTTCTCTTAATTTACCACTATGTACAAACTTTGATCAAAATATATGAAAGCTTAGAAATTTCTTGCTAAAACTCTAAACTGCTTTAAATCTCCCAGTTGCTCAAAGATAGTATGTGAATTATTTCAATATGGTTTGTATGCATGAATATGGAAGGCAACAAAAAAAAGATGACCTTCCTCTTTTTCAATAGTCCATGAGCTGCAGATTGGCCAAATAAGACTTATTTTATAATCAATAAAATCAGAAGAATACATTCTAAAGACATGAGAGCATCCACTTATCACTCTAAAAGTTAACCTTAATGTAAGTTTTGGAGGATATCTGTAAGATTTGTTACTCGGTTATTTTTTATTTCTTTGAAGAATGTTTGACGTAGGTGGACAGAGATCTGAGAGAAAGAAATGGATTCACTGCTTTGAAGGAGTCACGTGCATTATATTTTGTGCTGCACTCAGTGCCTATGACATGGTCTTAGTGGAAGATGAAGAGGTGGTAAGTCTAACCAAAAATATGGCCAGGGTGAAAAACAAGTGTTTGGGCTTGCCAACATTTCCACCACATTTCCTAACCCAACAAAGGCCTTCCAAAAATAGGTGCTATTTCCAAATCCTTGTTAATAATGCCCCAATTAATATTTGCAAATAATAACCCTACATTCTCATCTTTTATACTTAACAGAACAGAATGCATGAAAGCCTTCTCCTGTTCAACAGTATCTGTAATCACAAGTATTTTGCAACCACCTCTATTGTCCTATTTCTCAATAAAAAAGATCTCTTCCAAGAAAAAATAACCAAAGTGCATCTTAGTATCTGCTTTCCAGAGTACACTGGTAAGATTATTTTCTTTAATTCCACAGTACTAAATTCCTGTATAGCCATGTATTTTCCTATGTAGATCTTGACATGTAATATTTATGAGGTTGAGGCCTATGGTAATTTTTTGAGTCATGTGTATGATCCAAATTGGAAAGAATCTTACAAATAAAGAGAAAAATCTCTCTACACAGTCAGCATTAAAGCAAAGCTCTAATGAATAAATTGGAAGTAGTTAGATAGACCAGGGTTGCTTATATATTAAACTGCATTGGAAACTGTTATTTTAAGTACTATACTAGGAATGTAATATTCTTCTTAACTGTCATTTTTTAAATATATTTCCTAGTGAAACCTTGTAATACTGTATTAGATCTCAGTAGCATCTCAAAGTTTGAATTAAGTTCCTGGACGGACAGCTTGAATGCATTTGATAGCAGTGACATCTTCTCTTTTTCCAGTTTTCCCGGTTCTGAGTTTTAATGCTGCTCCTATTAGTCAATGACTGTAAATGTTAGCTTCGGAAGAAGGGCTGTTTTACCTTTGGAGACAATTTTTCTTTTGTAAATACTTATATTCCCTGTTGTTTATGAAATTATATAAAGTGGAAATATTTATGATTTAAACACAATTACAAGCCCAATTCCAACACTTAGATATGTGGGTAGCCCAGATGTTACTAGGAGCATGGCATTCTGTCAAAAAAGCTATTTGTGCTAATCCATAATTAGTGTTTATATCTTTCTCCTATATTTATAAATATTAATTACAGTTCACATTTATCATGTGATTAATACAATCATTCTATATTGAATAATACACATTAAATATACACTCATAATTAAAGGCTGTATGTTTCCACTTAGTTTATTTCTTAGAGCAGGTTTTAGTTTATAGAAAAAAATGAACAGAAAATACTGAGTTCCCATATACTCCCTCTCCAGTCAGCTCCCAGTTTCTCCTATTATTAACATATTGCATGGATGTGGTACATTTGTTGCAATTGATGAATGGATATTGATACATCATTACCTAAAGTCCATAGTTTACATTAGGGTTAGTCTTTTGTGTTGTACAGTTCTACAGCTTTGACCAAATGCATGGTGTGTATAAATCATCACACTATTATGCAAAATAGTTTCACTGCCATAAAAATCACCTGTGTTCCACCTATTTACATCTCTTCCCTCCCTGCCAAGCCCTGGTAACCACTGAACTTTTTATTTATTTATTTATTTATTTGTTTGTTTGTTTACCTGTCTATTTATTTAATTAAAATATCACTAATTACAACCTTACATTGGTTTCAAATGTACATCACAGTGGTTCAACAGTCCCCATGATGAACTTATATTGTGATTGCAAAGTATTGTGCTCCTATATGCCCCTCCCTCCAGCACCTGCCCTAACCCCTTGGTAACCATCAGTCACTTCTCATTGTCTGTTAGTCCACTGCTATTTTGTTCCTTCTGTTTTGCTTTGTTTTTATATTCCACAAATAAGTGAAATCATATGGTATTTGTCTTTCTCTGCCTGGCTTATTTCACAAAGAATACCCCCTAGATCCATCCATGTGGTTGCAAATGGTAGGATTTCTTTTCTTCTATGTGTGAATAATATTCCATTGTGTATATATACCACATCTTCTTTATCCATTCATCTACTGATGGACACTTAGGTTGCTTCTGTATCTTGGCCACTGCAATAGTGCAAGTGATAAATATAGGGATGCATGCATCTTTTCAAATCAGGGATTTTGTTTTCTTCAGATAAATTCCTAGGAGTAGAATTCCCAGGTCAAATGGTATTTCTATTTTTAGCTTTTTGAGAAAGCTCCATACTGCTTTCCACAGCAGTTACACCAATTTACATTCACACCAACAGTGTAGGAGGGTTTCTACTTCACATCCTCTCCAGCATTTGTTGTTTTTTGTCTTTTGGATGTTGACCATCCTAACTTGTGTGAGGTGATATCTCATTGTGGTTTTGATTTGCATTTCCCTAATGATTAGTGATGTGAAGCATCTTTTCCTGTGCCTGCTGCCCATCCATATTTCTTCTTTGGAGAAGTGTCTATTCAGGTCTTCCAGCCATTTTTTAATCAGGTTATTGTTTTTGGGTGTTGAGGTGTGTGAGTTCTTTATATATTTTGGATGTTAACCCCTTATCAGACGAGTCATTTACAAATATATTCTCCCATATTGTAGGGTGACTTTTTGTTCCGCTGTTGATGTCCTTTGTCATACAGAAGCTTTTTAGTTTGATGTAGTCCCACTTGTCCATTTCTGACTTGTCTCCCTTGTCCAGGAAAAAAATTGCTCATGCTTAAATTCAAGAGATTTTTGCTGATGTTTTCTTCTAAGAGTTTTATGGTTTCATGACTTACATTCAGGTCTCTGATCCATTTCAAGTTTACTTTTGTGTATGGAGTTGGACAGTAATCAGCTTCATTTTCTTACATGAAGCTGGCCAGTTTTCCCAGCACCAGTTGTTGAAGAGGCTGCCTTTTCTCCATTCTATGTTCATGGTTCTTTTATCATATATTAATTGACCATATATGGGTTTATATCTGGGCTCTTTATTTTGTTCCATTGATCTATGGGTGTGTTCTTGTGTCAGTGCCAAACTGTTTTGATTAATGGAGCTTTGTAGTAGAGCTTGAAGTCAGGGAGCATAATCCCCCCAGATCTTTTTACTGTAGTTATAGTTTTACCCTTTCCAGAATGTCCTGTCACTGGAATCATACGATATATGGTATTGTCTGATTGACTTTTCACTTTTCAATTTTAAGTGAACATGCATTTAAATTTACTCCATGTCTTCTCATGCATTGATAGTTCATTTATTTTTATTGATGAATAATATTCCATTTCATAAGCAAACCAGTTTCTATATCCTTTCACCTATTGAAGGATATCTTGGTTGCTTCCAGTTTTTGGCAATTATGAATAAAGCTGCTATAATCATCCATATGCATGTTTTTGTATGCATATAAGTTTTTTTGTAGGAGTACAACTGCTTGGTTGTATGGTCAGACTATATTTAGTTTTGTAAGAAACTGCCAAACTGACTTGCAAAGTTTTTGCATTCCAAGCAGCAATGAATATGAGTTCCAGGGGCTCCACATCTTTGGTAACACTTGGTGTTGTCAGTATTTTGGATTTTAGCAGTGTTAACATAGTTTTAAAGATTGTCCCTCACAGAATTTCTCTCCTAGTTATATTAAGTGGGGAACAAAATCTTATCTCCTAGGAAAATCTTTATGCTACTTCCCTACCTGTTAGGTCCCCACTAAACCATTCTGCTACAAAGCCAATCAACAGGTCACTTTAGTTGTCTTGTATTTATTAGCCTTACTAATTTCTGCCTTTCCTCATACTATAGTTTCCTCATACTATAGAAAACTTGTAGTTTTCTACTACAAGGCTTTACTTTCTCGAGTACAGCCTTCATCAGCTTTTCAGTTAGCTCTATTGAAACCTAGTCAAGAACAGCTCTTTATAATCTCAATGTATCTCATCGCAGCTACTTTGTTTAATTAACAACATAGTCTATGATTTGGCTCAGATCATCTATTCTATCTTCTGAATCATTCCTTGACAAAAATCTGTCACACTCATCTGACCAGATTCTCTAAAGTGCACATTCTCTAAAGGGTTGCTTTTCAACCCTACCCTCAGAATATATGCTATTCTCACTCTCACTTACTGGCTTTCACAGATACTGTTTTTCTTCTCTCTTTTACCTACCCCTCAAGGTCCAGTTTAATGCCACCTTATTCTGTAGTTTACTCATCTATACTTTGTTTTCTTTTAGCTTATATTAAAACACACACACTTGTGTATACATCCACACACAAATCCTTAGATACATACATGGACTTTCTTACTCACTTTGTTGTATAAATATGTTAGTATTTCTACTGTATTATGAGTTTTTTGATGCAAAGGTTCTATTTTAGCCACCTGAGTCATTTGTTGGAGTAAGGATAGTTTTTAGCACACAGCTGATGCATAAATTCCTGACCATTGCCATTTTTATTTTTCTATACTGAGTACACCAAACTACAGCAAAAGTAAACTCCTAAAACTCACTGAAATTTTAACTTTATTCTTTTTAAAAAGTAATTAATGTGTTCTTTTTCTTTTTTTACAAGGGCCAAATACATTTGAAGATGCAGGGAACTACATCAAGAATCAGTTTCTAGACCTGAATTTAAAAAAAGAAGATAAGGAAATTTATTCTCACATGACTTGTGCTACAGATACCCAAAATGTCAAGTTCGTGTTTGATGCAGTTACAGATATAATAATCAAAGAGAATCTGAAAGACTGTGGGCTTTTCTAATCAATTCTTTTTTCTTCCATTCTTGCTCATGTAGGTTTTTCAACATTAAAAGGAAAGGTGCTGTATGACATGTTTAGTTTTAATAGATATAAACTTATCCAGAAATACAGTGTGTTACAAGGCAAAATTTTTTTCACAAAAATTTTAATGTACTGCCACCTTTATTTGGATAAGATTCCATTTCTATGGGGCAATGAGGATGGGTTATCTTTGATATCCTCAGGTCTTGAAAACTGGTATATTTTGGTAATGTTCGGTGACACTGAATTTAGTTGGAACTACTTTTCTGCATTGTGCCTATTTTTAATCATAGAACAATGAAAAATGCAAGATATTCCATATTATTTCCATTGGCCAGATTTTGAGAGGCATTCATTTTTGCTGATAATGTAACTGTGCCTATATGTAGAAACTGTTCAGAGACGATATTTTATTGGTCAGTTAATACCATTTAGTCAGTTGCAAATGAAATGTTCATTATACATGTACCTGTTGATAGGAAATTATATATGCAAAAGAAATATAATTTTTTCTGCTATATTTTTTTTCCCTTAGGAAAAAATCATTAATGTTGAATTTACCCTTAGAATTGAGGATTCCAATAATATATCCTTTTGCAACAACCTAGTTGAAAACAGGGCCATGTATGGTCAAGTACATAGTGTAAAGCTGTTCAGGCTGAATAAAAGACCTCAATGGACATTTCTCACAATTTATTCTAGAGTGGCATGAACATTATTATAATTAATGGTTTTGGAACAACAATTCTAGACTGCAAGAGAGAAAAATAATTCTATGTCTCAGCACTAGTATATTTTGATTTTATGAATAAGAAGTTGGAAGTAACAACATAAAATTAAGGAGTTTTTTAGAAGAGAAACATGGAGTCTCTCTGTTAGTACTGTATGGTCTACTCTAAATGTCATACAGCATGCCAATGGTGAAAGACTACTTTTTAAAAGATAACTTGGTGCCTTAAATCATATTATTTACAAACAGAAAAGAATGACTTTTTAAAAAGTGTGTTCTTTAACAGCATGTACTTTGTAAACATGTCTCAATATTGTTTACCCTCTATACTTGTAGAAGGTGAGAGGTCAGAATAGTAGGTCAGTGCATAAGATTTATAACCACTCTGAAAAGATAACTAATTAGGTTTTTATAAATTAAATGAGATGAAGTGAACATAAATGAAGCAATCTGCCAATCTAGTTCAGAACTTAGGTAGCTCTCAGTATCTCAGTGCTACTACTTCATTGTTCTGTAATACATTTCCATTCTAAACACATAACAATGATCGCTAACAGAGTTAAGTAACCTTGACTAGAGTGTCTCTGGCCCTATTTTCAAAAATACAAAGAAGTTATCAACAAATACAGTTTAATAAAAAAAGCCATAGTAAGAAAAAGTAATTTGAACTGCTTTGCAGAATACAGATTACTAAGGAGTCTCTGATACCACAGACAAAAAAAATGAGGCAATATTCAGTTCAGGTTATTTGATATTTTCTGATTAAGAACCAATATCTATGTAACAACAGCCCAGTGTTTTGCTAGGAGATAGTCAATGCTATGAGATTGTAAATTAAGATTACAAATGCTAAAATTTTCATTCATTGCTTTGTCTTTTTTTTCCCCCTCCCATTCTATTTTAACCTGTTTTCTTCATCAGTATGAAGAGAATTTTCCAGAAAGGAGTAAGACATTTTTTAAAATATAACTGTTATTACATTTTAACTGACTTGCTTTGAGGGGTTCCTCTTTTAGATAACATAGGTGGAAAGGGTGGGGTCAGAAATTATTCAATTTTTGAAAAACACGTAACTCACTTCAATCTGTGCAAAAAATTGACAGGCATCAATATTTATTTATGAAACATTATTCTCTGAGACCTTGAATAAGTTAAGTGATCAAACAAAAATTAGAGGAGTCAGTTTAGATTTTTTCTTTTAAAAAAGCTGTTAAATTCCTTCCAATCCTATGATTGAAATTTAAAATCTTTTTCATAATCAACAATACTTGCTATGCTAAACAATGAATTTTAATTAAGACAAAAAATTTTAATAGCGAAAAATAAAATAGATGTTTGCATTACTTTTTAAGATCATTGCACTCCTTAAAACTTGGTCTCTTCCTGATTTTACTTTTGAAATTTTTAACAAAAAAAGAGTAGATGCATACATTTTGGGCTAACAAAGGAAGTGACAAAGTGGAAAATATGGAAAGCTATTCCTTAGCTGAAAGACACTCACACTGAGACCAGCAATGTTAACGTTAGTTAGAAATGAAACACTTGTTTCAATTGAAAATTCAACTTTAATTTTAACTGGACAGTTGGTGTTCTTGCTTTTATAGTGTCTGTAAGAAGCAGTCCTAGTTTGTCAGAGTTCAATATGATTACACTGATTTTTTCCTGTGAGTTCTCCTTCCTGACTCCGAATGTTTCCAAATCTTGCTTGTCTCAGTTTGTAATACTCCCAACGCATCCATTTGTAAGATGTGTCCAATCATACACATGCTGTTCTACCTCAGACACCTGGTGGAGGCTTATATCTAATGGGGCCATTAACAACTAGTTCTTGCAAAGTTCTCCCAGCAGCATGAAGTGGTCAATATATGAAGCTCTGCATCTTGGACTAGTGACCAGAGAGTTAAATGAAGACTAGTAAGTGGATATACTTTTGAGCGAAAATATAAAAGTTGGTAAGTCTACAAAGAAGCTTTATGGGAAAGGAGTTTTAAGTCCTGTGGAATTTACAATACACATTATAGATTTCCAATATCCTATACATTAACAAAATTTATAAACAAATAACAGTCTTTGTGTACATCATACAAATGGACAGTTTCAGGTCAATTGGCCTGTTCTATTACAAATTTTCTTGCTTGATCTATTATCCTATTTAATCGCAAAATATATTTTAAAATAATTGCAGAGAATCACTCAGGTTTGACTTAAACACTATGTACATACAGAAAAATAAGTCTTTTTTTTGTAGATTTATGTGTTTTTACTGTGTTATACCACTTCAGAATCAGAGGTGGTGTGTTGTTTAACATGTATGGCTACTAAAAAAACATTTGTAGGGACTATAGGCAAAATGGTGGCTCCTCTGGCTTAGGGTAGCTTTGAAAATAGAGAGAACCTTCGGTGGGGGACAGAGAAACATTCACTAGATAATATAATCAGTTAACGCCCTCTTACCACTTAGGCCTTTCTGACATTCTTACAAACTAGTCTGTAGCCACAGGGGGGCACACTTACATCATGGTTTTCTACCCAAATGTTGCAGACAATAAATTTAGATTACCAATAGCTTTAATAAAACAGATAATAAAATCCTATTAAAAATCATAGTTCATTTTGTGCTCAAGCTCAGTAGTGTATAATAATTTGATAATCATAATATACACACTATTTTAGTCAAGTTTTGTGAAAACAAAACTACTGAAACATCTCTAAACATTTTTAGGGTTATACACAAATAGCCAGGTCTTTTCTCCTTTTTTTTCCCACCATTTTCAAATTGTTTGTTACTATTAATTGTGGAAAGTGTATTTTTCCATTAATCTGTATTGTGCCTAAGATCTTGATTAGCTTATAGTGAAAGGTAGAAAAATAATTGATGCCTAACAACTGTTTTGTGAATAATCAACTGGCTGCTTATTAGTGTGTATCTTTTCAGTAAATTAAAGCAAAATTCCATTCTGCTATAACTTCAACCAGTCCATTATTCTGTTTATTGCAACTTGTTCCACAACCGACACTCCATCAAATTCAGAGGAAAATGAGTACTTTGTGACATTCTGCTACTAACAGCACTGCTGATGCCAACACATTTTTCATTAGTAATAACACAATTTTTGTTCTAAACCATATTTGTCACACTGTTAGGAAACAGGCACATGAAAGAAAAAGGAAATAAAAGACCTTATGTACTTCACAGAGTCAGTAATGGCCCTCTAAATTTTATTCCTTTCAGATAAAGAATGATGTATGAGACACACAAGCAAAGTGATAATTTGAAAGACATTCATATTTTTTAAGTTGACTGAAACAAAACCTAGCACACATATGTGAATAAAAATTATTTTTATCTATATATATCTCTATTTCCTTTCTGAAAAAGAAAAATGATCAAATATTCAATGCCATTACAGTATCAAAACCAATGGAGAATATTTCTATTTTAACATATTAAGAGCTTTACATTAGAGGAAATACTAGTCTCTACTATATTTGAGAAACAATCACTCCATATTTTTATTCATATATATGGTGTATCCCCAACAATAATGTTTTATCAACTAGCGGAGTAGCATAATCATCTCCACCTTTTGAAAGAAAAGGCAGAGTATTCTTCTATAAAAAATATATAAGCCACTTACATTATGTCAAAACAGACACCAATGCTTATTTTTTTTTCATAATTCTGTTCTTTTGTTAATCTAAAAAGAAGTATTTCTTCATAATCTTACACAACAGCCACACCATTTTATTATAGAAGGTAGTGGAGTCATCATATTCTGGACCACCATGCTTAGAAGGCTTCAGTACACTTGGAAATCCTAACAGCAAATTGTTCATCAATTACATCATTGTGAATCTGTGGCGACAAGTTCTCCTGAAGTGCATTCACCCCCACTGGAACAGGTGACTTGGTCACTATAGGGAACCCTAAGGTGCTTGAGACTTGAGCGGAAATCTCACTTCTAGCCTCAGCTGTACCTCTATGGGACTTTGAAAATTTAAATTTTTCTAGATGACTTTTATTCACAACTATGGATGACCAGAGTAGATTAAACAATCACCATAGACCAATATAGATTGAGCTTCCAAGTCAGCAATTTGTTTTGAAAACTGACACCAGAGTAAGCTGGTTTACTGAAAGGAAACAGAAACAAGAAGAGAAAGGATATGCAAGGGATTTTTAATTAACACTTAGAAAGTGACTTTATGTTTATGTGTAAAAACTGTGATACCTTTTTGTCAGTTTTAAATTGAGGGCTTAAAAGTGTTATTTATTCCTGAGAAGAAGAATCAAGCACCTAACATCACCCTGTTCATTGTTCAGCCTGGTAGACCATCCCTTGTCATCCAAGGAATGGAATACATTGGTTAATGTATAAAAACTTTATTAAAGAATAATGTGAGAACTTGGTAAAATTACCAAGCATTGAATTATATACTTAAAATGGTGAATATATAAATTATCCATGAAAATAAAAATAATAAAGATGATTTTTAAAAAGAATAACATGGCACTCATTTTTCCTTATAGTATCTCACATATGTAATGGAACTAGCAAACACTTAATAAATTTATAAACAATGAGTTCATATTCACCATGATTACCTTTCAGACTAAAACAGAAATAGTTCAAACTCTAATATCCCTGCCTCTCTAGGACCACCCATCATGGTTGGTTCCTTAAAAGTAATCATTTAGTTTTGCTTTTTAAAAACTAGAAAGCTGAGATCATTCTCATGCTAAAATAAAGTTCCAGGATAACTTCCAGTGCTCAGGGCACATGGCCCAGTCCTTCACATAGCAGGTCCTTGGCGCTTGCTATTTTGTTGTCAGAGCTGCCCTCTTATACTCCATGCCTTATTAGCGCCTCAAATCTTAACTTAGAGTTCACCTCTTTAAACAGGGGTTCCCAGACCTCACAGATGGAAGTTCATCTGCTTCATACTTTTATACTTCATAATAATTTCACTCTTTATGACTGAGATTTACAATGGAATATTTACTTGTGTGACTGTTACATTTGTTTGCCACCCTACTGCATGTAAGTTTCCTAAGGGTGAAGCCCACATACAGGTTTTCCACATTGAGTTTGATGGCAAAGTAGGAACTAAGGATATTAGTGAATTAATGAAAAAACAATCCAAAGATTATTTACCAGTTCCTCCTAGAAGGCCTTTTCTCTTGGCTTACAGAATGTACTTCTCTGATTTTTCTCCTGTGTCTCAAACTCCTCTAATCTTCCTGCAAATGTTAGTATCACTAAAAATACTTATCCCTACCATCTTATTACTCCACATATTCTCTATTAGAGATCTTAAGTACTTTCCTGGTTTCATTTTATTCTAGGCAAGATCAGTCTCCTGTTCTCTAGCTGTATATCTTAATTGCTTCTTTGGACATATACATACAAAATTCAACATTTTCAAAATTAAACTCATGATTTAATGAGTTTAACTAAATTTAAGCTCATTGAATCTATTTTTCCTCCCAGGATCTATCTCAGTTGTTCAGCCCAAACTTTAGATTTTAACCTTTTCTCTCACCTGTTACCCATTTCAAATTACTCAAGAAGTTGTAGTGATTCTACATGCTAAATATTTCTTTGATTATTTGCTTTTTTCCATCATTACTTCCCCTTGTCTAGTTCAAGTTCCTCTCTTGCAGAGATTCTTGGAAGAGCTCCTTAAACTGTCCACCCTGTATCAATTCTTGCCACTTCCAATCTATTTTCCATCCAACTAATAGGTTGATGATGATTTGTCTCAAATGTAGGACAATTACACTACATGACTTCAAATGCTTCCATGGTTTTTCAGTATTATGAAGTCTAAATGCCATGATGTTTAACTATTCTCCATGAACTAGTACCTCTTCTCTAGCCAATATTTTGCTATTCTTCAATTTAAATCCACTAGTAAAGGTGCTCCCTCCTAGATATATTTCTTCTCCCCCATTTGTTCACTGATTAACTCAAACTTAGGACTTCTGCTTTTTTCAGAAATTATCTCCTCTCTGGCCATGTCTTGGCTACTTGCCTATCCTATGTGTTCTCTGACTACCTTGCACCCCCTTTTTTGTAGGCCTTATTATGATAATGAAGCCAAGTAAATCCGTTTCAGCCCCTGTGAAGAGTATGCAAAGCAGACAGTCCACTTTAAGATAAGCATAGTTATATGTTCTGATAAGTGTGTGTGTGTGTTTTAAAGTTTCCAGCTCTGTCTTAATGTTTTTGGTGAGGTAGGGAGGAATAAAAATGTCTAAAAGAAATGATGTATCATAATTAAAAAGACATGTTTTTTTCCCTTCCAATTCAGACTTGAAAAAAATCTTGAATGCATTTGGCAAAGTTTCCAATTGATGTCTTACATATCTATTTTATATTCCAAATGAGGCTACATGAGATCAGTCTCTGTTTTCTCTAGCCATTTATTATGTCCAATTAGTAAAAAGAGGAATTACACAAGCTCCTAGAGAGGAAGCCAGATCCATCACTATTCAAAGAAATAACAGCACTATCCTAAAGACATTGGGAAGAAAGTTACATCTCTCTTGCCTTTGCTGTGACATTGCCTCAGTACAAAGAGACCCATCTAATGTTTCAGAGGCCTTGAAACGAGATCGCTGTTCGAGAGCAGACACAGAAATCCTATCAATGGATGTTTTGAGGCCTTTGATAACAGGAGAACATCACAATGCCCTATAACAATTAGTCTATTACTTAAAAAATCATAAACCTTAAAATGTGAACATTTTTGTCTGCTTGTAAAGCTACAATTAATGTCATAGGAAGTCCTGTCTTAGAAGAGCAAAACAAAATCATAATCAGTAGAACCTTTACAAATTATTAAAGGGTGACCTGTTTATATTTACTACTAGTATTTTCATGTTCTTTTTTAAAAACTGCCTTCAAGCCTTTCCAAAGTAATTTCTGTCCCCTTAATAACAAGAAAGACTGAACTGCATACTTACACAACCACAATATACACATAAATCGTATTTCACCAAAGTATCGGTAACTTTTAAAGCTAGTACCACCTATTACCCCCATCTGTAATATTTCAAAAGATTATAAACCATAAACCTGATCGAAGTGTACGGAGCTTTGGAAAATGCTTACATTTCAAAACTTACCATATAACTTGGAGAATTTATGAGCAGATTAATTACCCTTCAATGTCTATAAATATAAGTAGATAATAGTGGATAAAATACAATTCTTAATTGTATGTTTTCTATAATTTGAATGTATTGTTTTAATTTCTCACATTTTAACATATCTTTACATTAAAAAATGTCCTTCACTGAGCTATAGAAGAATATATTCAGTTGTTTGTAATAGATTTCAGTTGAAAATCAATAAAGATTTATTCTTGATAAAGTTTAGCAATGATCTTTGTGATCTCTGATACACTTTTAGGAGTTCCATTAAGTGTGTGTGTGGGCGTAACTTAAGGAAATCCTCATAAAATTTGTAGATTTCTTCTACTGTCCTTTAAATTTATAAACTCCTCAAATCAAGCAAATCTCAGTAGTTTGGTCTTCCTGCTATGAAGTATGGGGTCAGATTGCTGCATACAATCACCTACACCATCTTATGTGCTTTTTACACTGAAGAAAGCTTCCAGTTACTTAGTCTTTCCTGAACTCACAAATTTAAATCCAGTTAGGGGTTGTAAATTTTTTTGACACAATTCATGGTACTTTTTTAATGAAAAATTAAGTTAAAAAACTTTTAAGAAAGATTCAGTGAATTTCCACTGTCCATGGACTCAGTCTAGTTGTGTTTCAATGCTAGCATCATTATAACTAGCATCAGTTTTAATGTTTAAAGAGAATTGAAGAGGCAAACTTCCTCTCAATCATAATGATCAGACTAAATTACAAACAACTTGCAATCTATTAATCTCACAAAGCACGAATGGTGGATGTACACACTTTGACTTTCTGATAATCA